TGAGCTGAAGAGCTGAGGGACAGCGCCCAGGCCCAGAGTTCAGGCCCCATGACCGGACCCAAAAAATAAAAATAAAATAAAGGCAATTATGTCATTATGGGAAAGGATACAACAGGTTAAGTAGATAGCAAACATCGTCAGAAGTTTCCTCCAGCTTGCATTTATTTTCTAAATTGTGGTATAACCACAGGCCGTGGAGCAATGTAGGGATGAATTTGGGAGGAGAAAGGTAGAACTATCATATAGGCAATTCATGTGACAATTAAAAAGGACCTAAATTATGGAAGTAGTTCTCCCAACTATGATTTTCATGCTTTTTTTTTTTTTTTTTGGAGACAATGTCTCTTTGTAGATCAGGCTTCTCTTGAAGAGGATAAGTAGCCTAGGTTGGCTGAGATCCTCCTACCTCAGCCTCCAGAATGCTGAGATTACAGGTGTGTGCTACTATACCCACAGCATACTTTTTTTTTAAAGCAGCAAAATTTATTCTGAAATTGTATACAATTGTATACCCCAAAATACAGAAAATATAAAAGCACAGGGACTTGGGATATAGTTCCGTTGTAGAGCACTTGTCTAGCATGTTTAAGTCCCTGTTCCCAGCGCTGTAAAATAAATTGGGGGGGGGGGGAAGCCAGGCAAAGTGGATTATACTTGATATTTCAGCTACTTGAGACAGATTGGGAAGATCTCAAGATCTAGCCCATTCAGAAACCTAGCTCAATAAAACAAACTGGGCATAATGATACATATTGTCATCCTAACTATATTTTGGGGTATACAAAAAATAACAAAACCAGAAAAGAGTGGAGGTGTGAGTCAAGTAGCAGAGCACCTGCTTACCAAGTGCAAGGCCCTGAGTTCCAACCAAAAAGAAAAATAAAATCTATGGGTAGGGGTGGAGGGAGAGTTAAGATTGTATGATGCTTAGCCTACATGAGGCTTGGGTTTAATTCCCAGCATCAACCACCCTCCCCTCAAAAAAGAAACCCCCCCCAAAAAACAATCTACCCATGTTGCCTCCATTTACCCACCTAAGATATCCTTCAAACTTACTGAAAAGATCTGTATTGCATTCTATTTGTTGAGATTCAATTTCTTTTCAATTTTTTAATTTTTTGCCAGTCCTGGGGCTTGAACTCAGGGCTTGGGCACTGTCCATTAGCTCCTTTTGCTTGAGGCTAGCACCCTACCATTTGAGCCACAGTGCCAATTCCGGCTTTTTCTGTTAATATGGTACTGAGGAATCGAACCCAGGGCAAGCACTTATACCACTAAGCCACATTCCCAGCCCAAGATTCAATTGTTAAAAGCAAGCACTAAGTATTGATTGTAGCAAGCACTAAAATACTTAGTAATTTTTAAAATTACAAAAAATCCCTAGGGCTGGGCATGTCCTTGAATGGTAGATACTTGTCTGGTATGCATGGTGCCCTTTGTTCCATCCCCAGCACCATAAAAAGTGAAATCCCTGATATTACATGACACTGACTTCGTGGACTTGATAATTCATTTTCTCAGTTCATCTATAGCATTTGCATAGGAATCCTGTCAGAGGTAATATTTATAAATACCAATGCAATTTCCCAAAGCATACAAAGTGACTTGTTTTTTAAAGGATCTCTGAAGCCTTCATAGAGAACTGAATTAAAATTAACAGAATATTCTGGGAAATAATCTGAGCAAGTATTTCAGCAATGAAGACTGGGGCTATCTCTGCAATCCCCACACCCATCACCCTGGGAGCCATGCTGCTGCTGGACAGCTTGCAGGAGTGGGTTGTAATTCATAATGAATCTGTCCACCTGATTTTGAGGAGAAAGCTGGGCTAGACTGATAAGAGCAAGAAGTCTCTTGCCCAGTGTGAAAGGGGCTTAGTGGTGTGTGTGTGTGTATATATATGTTGTGAAAGTGAAAGTAGGGGAGGATGAGCTTTCCAAAGGTTTGGGGGAGGGTATAACCTTTGTTCAGAGCTAAGGGGGAAGAAACATTCCCCTCTTCACAGGCCTAAACCCATGGGGAGTGAGCCCCAATTGTCCCCTGTCTCTACCCTCTTATCTCTTCTCCTAAGAGATGAAAAATGAATAAGCTGTCTGATTTGAGTTTAGGACTTGAAGGTAGTATCATTCCCCTCCTCCCAACTGTAGCACCAAAAAGGCAAAGAGTGAAAAAGGGCTGGGCAGAGAACAGTGCTGTCTGACTTTCTAGGTAGTGAGTTGTTGGTTACTTTTCTGTCTCCACATTCTAGAGGTAATAGTAAATTGTTAGGAGCCAAAAAGCAATAGGAGATTACTGTTGCTTTTGTTTTTGTAGTTGTGTCTTCATTTAGTGACTCCTGTTCCATGAACTTTGAAAGTGAGAGTTGGGCTCAGCTCCAGAAGTAAGTTTGAATTGGAAAGCTAAAGACTGTGTATAAAGATAACCTTTTCTTCTTACCTTCAAAAAACCAGTTTTGTCTTAGTGAAACATGCACTATTCATGTGACTTGAGATCATTTTTATCCTGGCTTCTATGGGCTTTAATCTTTCATAAAGTAACCCAGGAATTCTAACAGCCTCTGATGAGAAATTGTTGAGGCACTTTAAAACAATACAACATGATATAAAGTTAGTAGTTCAATGTCCAACATAAGTTTTGTACAAATTGAGTAATATAGGGCTGGGAATGGCTCAAATGGTAAGGTGCCTGCATAGCAACTGTGAGGCCTTGAGTTCAAATCCCATGAGAGAGAGAGAGAGAGAGAGAGAGAGAGATAGAAATTGAGTGATACGCCAAGTGGAGCCTCAATGATTGAGCTGTTTCTTTTCTTATTACAGCTATCTGTGAAGGGTACAAATCAGAATACAGCATGCCTCCTAATAAAGAGGCCAGCAGACTTAGCCCAACAGCAGGGCTCATCTGCCTACCTCCAATCTCTGAGGAGATCCAGCTTGTGTGGACCCAAGCAGCTCAGACCAGTGAGCTGGACAGCAATGAACACCTGCTTCAGACCTTCAGCTACTTTCCCTATCCCAGCCTAGCAGACATTGCCCTTCTCTGTCTACGTTATGGGCTGCAGATGGAGAAAGTCAAGACTTGGTTCATGGCCCAGCGCCTCCGATGTGGCATTAGCTGGTCATCTGAAGAAATAGAAGAGACACGAGCCCGAGTGGTCTACCATAGGGACCAACTCCATTTCAAATCCCTTCTCGCTTTTACTCATCATGCAGGGCGACCCCCAGAGGAGGCATCTCCAATGCCAACTGAACAACTTGGTCTTGGCATAGGTCCTCTGACGCTTAGTGAGCCTACCCAGATGAAGGGATTGAAGGTTGAGCCTGAAGAGTCCTCTCAGATCCTACCTCTGCCATTGAGTCATCAGAAAGCAAAGGAGCCCCTGATGACACCTGGCAGTGGAGCATTCCTCCACCAATCAGATATTTTGCAGGATATCCAGAGCTGTGGCCTTTCCAAGGAGCAGGCATGTAGGGCTCCTGAGCAGTCAGCTGGCATAGGTTCTGCTTCCTGGAACAACTCCACAACTGTCCAACAGCCACATGCTCAAATTAAGCCCAAACCAATCTCAATACTTGCTAGTAGTTGTAAGGAGGAGTCAACATCTAGTGTGACTCCTTCTTCCTCTACCTCTTCTTCCTCTTTCCAGGTACTGGCTAATGGAGCTACTGCCACCTCTAAGCCCCTCCAGCCACTGGGCTGTATCTCGCAGTCACTCTCACTCAGTGAACAGGGACAACCCTCACATCTGGAGCCAGCCTGGTCCCATGGGCTAAGGCCTAATTCAGCTGCAGGTAGGGGTGGCCTCACAGAATACCTTTCCCCAGATATGCAACGCCAGCGAAAGACTAAGCGCAAAACCAAAGAACAGCTGGCTATCCTCAAGTCCTTCTTTCTACAGTGCCAATGGGCACGGCGGGAAGATTACCATAAATTGGAACAAATCACTGGTTTACCTCGACCTGAAATCATTCAGTGGTTTGGTGATACACGCTATGCCTTAAAGCACGGACAATTAAAATGGTTTCGGGATAATGTAGTACCTGGCGCCCCTAGTTTCCAAGACCCAATGATTCCTACACCACCTTCAACCCGCTCCTTGAAAGAATGGGCTGAAACACCACCTCTGCCAACCCCTCCACCCCCCCCTGATATACGACCCTTGGAGAAGTACTGGGAAGCTCACCAACAGCTCCAGGAAGCTGACATTATTAAATTAAGCCAGGCATCTAGGCTTAGCACTCAGCAAGTACTGGACTGGTTTGATTCTCGATTACCTGAGCCAGCTGAGGTGGTAGTTTGTCTAGATGAAGAAGAAGAGGAAGAAGAGGAGGAACTGCCAGAAGAGGATGAGGAAGAAGAGGAGGAGGAAGAAGATGGTGATGATGATGATGATGATGTGATTATACAGGACTGAGGTGGGGGCGGCTAGGGAAAAAGGAATCTGTTACTAAAAGATGAACCAATTTAGTAACTGCTTAAACAAAGAAACCACATTTTTATAATTGCCTTGTAACAAAGAACTAAAAAACTTAGTGTTCAGGGTGGGCTATAGGGGCATGGCTAGGTTGAGAGGATGGCCTGGGAAAGATCATAGGACACAAACTAATGTATTGGAGCAGCAGAAATCTAGTCTCTAGCCTCCAGGTAGAGTGGGCTGAGGATCTGTGCAAATGACAGGCCAGTAAATAGCTTTAGCTCTCCTCCTATTTGCGGTTCTTTTCAATTAGTGTAACAGGGGCCAGACGTTCACACATCTCCAGAAGGCCTGAGAAGGAGGAGAAAAATACTCTAACTCAACTGATGACTCTAATGCATCCACGGTCTTACCATTTTCACTAGAATATAAGGCTACCTTGTACCCCTTTCTTTTCTGAGCACAAGTCCATACATCATGCAGCTAAGAGTCTCAGTACATCCTGGTCTTGTTGCCAGTATGACATTGTTTTGCCTGCTTCATCACTGAATCACACCAGTAGCACAGTGTCCTCATTTCTAATTCTAGGACCACTTTGCCTTCTACCTTTTTATCTCTACGAAATCCCTTTTGTCTCAGGGTAAATCTTCCCACATAGTTTGTGTTAATAACTGGGGTGGTGAATATTTAGGTTGGATATTTATTGGAGGTGGGAATTAAAGGAGGTGTACTTTAAAAGTAGAATTATGTTACAGAGTGATGGAGAAGGAATGCTTTCTCCTGGTGGAAAGGTGGCAGAGATGGTTCTAGGTTTGGTTTTACAAACCTGACATTACCTCTGTCCTGCTTGACAGAGATTGAATTTTCCTATTTTGCTACTGATTGAATTTGTGTCCAGAAAACTCTTCCTTCTCTATTGGTTTTATCTTGTAGACAGAGGGACTATAATCTTTAATTGGATTATTGATATTTTAGATTGGTTTTCATCAGTTGGATCCTATGTAAAGCAAATAGATCAATGGTTTAGTCATCTAAAGTAAGGGTGGAAGCCCCCAATCGCTAGACTATAATAAAGGCCAAAATTAAAGTTGTTTCTTTCTTCTCCACTCTTTTATTTGGTCAGTTGTGGGGCTTGAACTCTGGGCCTGGGTGCTGTCCCTCAGCTCTTCAGCTCAAGGCTAGCTCTCTACCACTTGAGAGACAGCACCACTTCCAGTTTTCTGAGTGGTTTATTGGAGATAAGAGTCCCAGAGACTTTCCTGCCCTGGCTGGCTTTGAACAGTGATCCTCAGGTCTCAGCCTCCTAAGTAGCTAGGATTATAGGTGTGAGCTACTGGCACCCAGCTCAGTTTGCCACTCTTATGGTCTAGAAATTGATGGATCCATCTCCATTAACATTTCTGATTTAGGGGCTAGGTGTGGTTTAGTAAAGGAGTATTTGCCTACCTTGTGTCACACTCTAGGTTCAATCCCATCATTAGTTTTAAAATATTTTGATTTCATATACGTTTATTATTCAGAAGGGCAGGGCTTATTGAAGTAAAGTAAAAGACAATAGATTGATATCTGTGATCACACTGTTTTCAGTAGCTGATGATAATGATTAAAATTTCTGAGATTTCAGCAATGACAGACCCAACAAGCTTGGGAGTAATTCCACTTTTACATCCCATAGTTGTAGAACTTCTAATAACAATCAAGTTGCAGCATTCATAAAGGACATCTTTATTATTTATACACTTCAGTATGCTGAGAACCTGTTTTTCCAACTATTGTTTTGACAAAGGAAAATCAACATATTTAATCTAAGCATAGAGGAAACAATAGACAAATAGAGTATACTAAATGAGGAAAAGGAAAGAGTGTTCCTTGTTAACATTGGTAATGGGATAAAAATTCAAAGCTAAAAAATGAAATCCAGAAATGAATAGTTGATGAGAATGTTAGTCAATCTCCCAACTCCAAGCATGATACAGAGAATTATTTTTACAACTTTAGTTTCAAATTGTAAGAAATGAAAGGAGCTACATATTTTGGGGGATAAACATCTTCCTGTATTCTTACATAAGACTTGACCGCATTCCTGAGTGGTAAGATAGAATAGAGGAGGCAAAGATCAAAAGGGAATAAGTACAGAGTAAAACCATGAAAGAGAGTAGGAGCATCTTTTCCAAAGCCATGTTTCCTCATGGCTATTGGTCATCTCTTAGAAGCATGTACCCATCCCACCTGAAAGCTGGTCTATCGGGGAGTGGTCCATGCATCTTTCTCCCTGGCTAATCCCACTTGCCTTTGTTGGTACAGCGTCTGTAGCAGAGAACAGAAAGGCAGATTTGAGTGTTTATAACAATAAGAAAGACTAGTAATGACCTCTTTGGGTCATTACATCAAGTGAATTGGGATTTTACCCACTATTACTTTCCAGTTATTTTTTCAACATTATCTTTCAAAAAGATTCGATTCATCCTGTGTGACAAGGGTTTTGTTGCTGCTTATGAAACTATAACATTTCAGTGGTTTACAATGACAAGGTCAAATATTTGAAAATCAAACAGTGATTGGCATATCCAGAGACAAGAAGGCACTTTTGTGGAGGTGGCATTCCAGTAAATTTTAAAACTCTGTGATGGATTTCTTTTTTGGGGAGGTGAGGTACTGGTACTGGGGCTTGAACTGAGGTCTGGATATCTGAGCTTTTTTGCTTAAAGACTAGCTCTACCACTTGAGCCACAGCTCTACTTTTTAACTTTTTGGTAGTTAATTGGTGATAAAGGTCTCATGGAATTTCCTGCCTGGGCTGGCTTCAAACCATAATCCTCAGATCTCAGCCTCCTGAATAACTAGAATTAAAGGCATAAGCCACCAGTGCCCAGCCAATCTGTTATTTCTATATTCTTCTCATTTTCCTCTCTACTAAACTCCAGAAAAATTCAGAATGTATGGATTTGTATCCATACCATGCACAGTATGATAGTTATTATGATTATCATGATACTCAAGAAAATCCCCATTGTTGGGGCTGGGAATGTAGCTTAGAGGCAGAGTGTTTGCCTAGCATGCATAAAGCCTTGGGTTTGATTCCTCGGTACCACATATACAAATCCAGAAGTGGTGCTGTGACTCAAGTGGTAGAGTGCTAGCCTTGAGCAAAAGCAGTTCAGGAACAAGTGCCCAGGCCCTGAATTCAAGCCCCAGGGCTGGCAAAAAAATTCCTGAGCTGAAGAGCTGAGGGACAGCGCCCAGGCCCAGAGTTCAGGCCACGACCGGACCCCCCCCCAAAAAAAAGAAAATTCCCAATGTTAAAATATTTTTCAATAGCAGATATAACAGTTATCCAGATTTCTTCAACTACCATATATATGTGTGTGTGTGTATATATATATACACACATACACACACATATACATACATATATACATACATACATATGTATATATATAGAGAGAGAGTCATGGGGCTTAAACTCAAGGCTTGGGCGCTGTACCAAGAGTGCTCAAGGCTAGCACTCTACCATTTGAGTCACAATGCCACTACCAGGTTTTTTGTTTTTTTTGGTGGGGTCTGGTCGTGGGGCCTTAATTCTGGGCCTGGGCGCTGTCCCTCAGCTCTTCAGCTCAAGGTAAGCGCTCTACCACTTGAGCCACAGTGTGCCACTTCCAGCTTTTTTCTTTTTGCTTATGTGGTGCTGAGGAATCGAACCCAAGGCCTCATGCATGCAAAGCAAGCACTCTACCACTGAGCCACCTTCCCAGCCCACACTACCAGGTTTTGAGTGGTTAATTGGAGATAAGCATCTCAGGGGGACTTTCCTGCCTGGGCTAGCCTTTGAACAGTGATCCTCAGATCCCTGCCTCTTGAGGAGCTAGGATTATAGGAGTGAGCCACTGGTGCCTGGCTTGCCTCAATTTTGTGTGTGTGTGTATGCCAGTGCTAGGGCTTGAACTCATGGTCTGGACACTGTCATTGACTTTTTGCTCAAGGTTAGCACTCTACCACTGTAGCCACAGCACCACTTCCAGCTTTTTCTTTTTTTTTTGGTCCGGTAGGGGGGCCTGAACTCTGGGCCTGGGCGCTATCCCTCAGCTCTTCAGCTCAAGGCTAGCACTCTACCACTTGAGCCACAGCACCACTTCCAGCTTTTTTCTTATGTGGTGCTGAGGAATCGAACCCAGGAGCTCTTCAGCTCAAGGCTAGCACTCTACCACTTGAGCCACAGCACCACTTCCAGCTTTTTTCTTATGTGGTGCTGAGGAATCGAACCCAGGGCCTCGAGCATGCAAGACAAGCGCTCTACCACTGAGCCACCTTCCCAGCCCCACTTCCAGCTTTTTCTGTTTATGTGGTACTAAGGAATCGAACCAGGGCCTCATGCATGCTAGGTAAGTGCTCTACCACTAAGCCATACTCCCAGCCTTGCCTCATATTTTTAAACTACTTTTTAAAAATCAAGATCCAGTTTGGATGATAAAGAGCAAAAAGTAGCCTGCTGCTCTCAGGAGGAACTAGCTATGCTGCCATCTCTAGACAGGGACGCACTTTCTGACTTACTTACCTCTAGGTCTTCTGGGAGAAATAGAATTAACCTTGAGCAAAATACTAAACTTGGATTTCCAAGGAAAGTATAGTATTCATGATTAACTGAATTCAATGGACACATGTCATCTGCCTATATTGGATACTCTCAGTTTCACTTAATGTGTCTTTAAATGAGTTAATGCATTCTAACTGCTTTAGAAATGAGTTTGAAGCCGGGCGCTGGTGGCTCACGCCTGTAATCCTAGCTACTATGGAGGCTGAGATCTGAGGATCACGGTTCAAAGCCAGACCAGGTAGGAAAGTCCATGACACTCTTATCTCCAATTAACTACCAGAAAACTGGAAGTGGTGCTGTGGCTCAAGTGGTAGAACGCTATAGCCTTGAACTGAAGAGCTGAGGGACAGTGCCCAGGCCCAGAGTTCAAGCCCCATGATTTACAAAAAAAGAAAAAAAAAAAAAAAGAAAAATGGCTCATGCCCATAATTCTAGCTACCTCAGGAGGCTGAGATCTGAGGATCATAGTTCAAAACCAGCCCAAGCAGTGGCATCTGTGAGATGCTTATCTCCAAT